AGCAATCTTATTTGGTAACACAGAGCCCACATGGTATTTGGGAATCAACCTGCTGGAGCTAAAGGGGCCAGACAGGCTCTTATTTGCCAGTTCTCACTACTCCCTATTGCATTACACTCACCTGCTTCAACTCCTTTCTTTATGCCTGCCTGATACCTGTCTAGTGCTCACCTCTGCTCTAAGTAGAGCTTTCCAAATATTTTCCTGAAGGGCCCCTAAGATTAGGGAAAGTAAACCATTTTCTCCAGGACTTCCAGAGCAGTCCAAAGTAGCCTGTCACAAGTCAGAAATGTTTTTAAAGTATGCATTATAGGTTTAAAAAGTGGACATTTTATTTATGCTACAAAATATATTTATATAGTTTTCATATAAAAAATTATCTCCCCACAAAAACTTAAAAGGAAAATGGAGCTCTGATTGGTGTGGCATCATCCTACAAACTGAAAGGTCATTGGTTCAATTCCTGGTCAGGACACATGCCTGGGTTGTGGTCCAGGTCTCTGGTTAAGAGCCTGCAAGAGGCAACTGGTCAATGTTTCTCTCACATATCGATGTTTGTCTCTCTCTTTCTCCCTCCCTTCCCCTCTCTCTAAAAATAAATAAATAAAATATTTGTCTAAAAAAGACTACAACTGACACTGTGGAAAGTATGCCATGTGCATTATGTGGCTCCAAACACTCCTTACCACATTGCCTATGAATAACCCAATTTAAGCAGTATGATGCAAAAGATATGAGGCAAAGAGAAAAATGGGAAACCAGACATGCGGAGAGAAAAAGAATCTCAATGACAATATGAAAGACAAGCTCTTTCTCTAGTCCTAAGTCATCCTTCCTGACTTGGCCCAGGCCAGTTCCTGAGAAGTTTGTAGACATCCCTGATATCTCTGGACAGGTGTTAGAGTGGTGGCTCAGAGTGAAAAGCAAGTTTCAAAACAGAAGCCAGGCCAAGTAAGGGAGAGGTGAGAGGCCAAGAGCAGCCAAGTGTGGTCAGACAGGAAAGAATATCTAGGGGCCAGGGAAGAGGCTTGGGGCCAGGGAGCTGAGGGCTATGAAAAGGGCTGATCAGCATTTGCCCTTTCTCCCACTGAGCCCATCTTTGTTTCACTTCTTCTTACCACACTTGCTTGAGAAAAATAAAGTAAAAAAGTTACTTTGACCACCTTAGGTGAAGGAATTTTTTTTTCTCCAGAATGGTTGCATCTCTGGCCATATCTGACCACAGAAGGATGAGTACCAGGGCTTGCTTCCTTATCCAAATGAGATTTTATCTATTCCCTCCAAAACAGAAAATACCCCAGATCATTGACCCAGATTTAGGTGAGTTCATTTCCCCCATCCCTTTAGTAAGGCACAGACAGGTCTAACTCATCCCTCTCCTATTATAATACTATCACTGCTGCCCTATGTGTAACAAAGAATATTAGAGACAAGACTTGAATATTTTCTCCCTTGTCCATTGTACACCAAGAGAAATAAAATCACAGGATGAGAAAGATTCAGGAAGGCAGGGGTACTGGCTTTGGGAAGCCCAGCCCACAGCTGAGGATCCTGGAGGAGAAGAGGTTTGAGAATATATAGTCCCAGACTCAGAAGTCATGGGGACACAGACCCTTTCTGCATAGGCCAAGACTGGGTGTGATGAATCCCTGGATTCCGTCCTCCAAAGTCTCGGGTTCCTGAGGTTATTGCACTTACCCTCTCAGTTAGAGTGGGATCATTATCTTCCCAATGACTTTCCTTAGGGTTCCAGGGGAAACCTGGGTTCCCTCCAGGATACAAAATGGCAAATTAAGTCCTGTTGGGGATAAGGCAAAGGATTTTCTGAGGTAATACTGGGAAGCTAGAACTTATTTTTAGCTTCCTGGTCCCAAATAACCTTTGGGGGAAAGTGAGCCTCACTAAGGGAAATGTAAATGGAGAAGAGGTCTGCACAGATTAGCTAACTGAGCTACAGCATTCCTCTCCATCTCATTTCTCTTCCCTGTCCTCTAGCCAGACATTATATACAAGAGGAGATATAGAGGATCTCACCACTGCTCTTTCCCCAGTAGACCATTTCTTGGTGGCTTGCTTGATTTGAGTTCTAGCTTGCAGATCATGACCTTGAACTCTGCTGCAGGCGTTGTCTCCTTCTTGCTGATCTTCCTGCTACTTGAGTTAAAGCAGGTTCATGGAAAAGCCTGGTTAGATGTCTGAGGTATCTTTAGCTTGCCCAAGCTGAAAATAAGATGGGCAAGCTAAAATTCTTTCCAGCAGATGGAAAGAATTCAGCAAAAGCTGAACATGTCTTGACCTTTGTTCTCAGAACCATTCAAACTCTTGGCAGGTGGAGCCACATCAGCTTGGATTCCTAGTGGGCATTCTAATCCAAATTTTGTTTCACACATGAGGAATCTGAGGCTTAGAGACCTGACATAACTTTCCAAAGAACACAAAACTATGGGCCAGTGAACACAAAACAAAGCACTAGGATCATAAACCAGTGCTTTGCCCAGTTGAGATGATAGACCTTCACCTTGGTTTAGTTCTTAACCAGCCTATGCTTACAAGCCACCCTGCTTTCCTTTAAAATTTCAAACAGCAGTAAAAATGAATTGAAGAAAATAATTATCATTTCCTAACCAACCAAACATGTCTTGTCCATCTGACATTTGACCCTCCAGTTTTCTTTGGTCTCTACCCCTGATCCTCTAAACTGCATGTTTCATCCAGGTCTCTAGTTCAGCTCTCTCAAACCACTTGAGACCCTGAAGTTAAATTTGCAGACCCCACTTTCAAGCTTTCTGTCCAAGTTGGGAGGATACCAGGAGCTAAGAATATAGGGTAGGAAAAGATAAGATTCTTGTCAGAAAACCTACCCTGCCTAAGCCAGTGCAGCCCAGGCTGTAGCCATGGGTACAATCTGTTCAACATAAGCAGGCCTTAGCAAGCATAGTACAGGGATGAGCAAGCACCACATAGGTCTTCTCTAAATGTTTGTAAGTAGTGCTTCAACCTCTAACCTTTTTCTGGGGCCTCTAGAGGGATAGCAGCCCTGTTTACTGGGTTTAGGCTTCAACCTCAGCCCGCCTGATAGAGCCTATGAAAAGTGGGGTAGAGGTCAATGGAAACAGTCTAGCTTGTGCCTGGAACTGTTCCTGAATCTGGGGAAGTTTCTGGGTCCCATGCCTCTGGCTTTGTTCAGCAAGGTCACCTGTCAGGACAGCAGGAAGACAGACAGAAAAGTCCAAAAATGGTCTGATCTTTCTGATATTGTCTTTGAGGCAACACAATTGATGCCAAGTGGTCACTCTAACCTTTGTCCTCCTTTCCTCCATTTCTGAGCAAAATATGTGTGTATAGAGGTTAGGATGAGGTGGGGGGAGCAGGGATGTATTCCATTCCTCCTCTACTGTCTCTTGTCTATAACCTTTGTTCCCATTAAGTTCCCAAGCTGGCATTAAATGGGACTTAGGGAATTGGCTGTGAATCCCAACAAAGACAGAGATATAGTTGACCAGGTGAGGACTTGTGTCTGTGTGTGTGTGTGTGTGTGTGAGTGTGTGTGTGTGTGTGTGTGTGTGTGTGTGTGAGATGGGCAAAAGGAGATTTTTCAATGTCTTTTAGTTTTGTTTCCTGCTGATTCTCCTCAGCTACATAGTGTACTGGGCAACCACAGTGACAGGTTTTCTCTCTATTCCCACTCTGCTCACAACACCTCCAAGAGCTAGAAAAGGAAACACATCAATCATCACAAATTACTTAAGAACTCTGGAATGTTGTTTCTATTCTGGTTTCCTTCTCTGGTCTCTTGGCTGTTTTCTACCATAACACCTACTACTACACCGTACCTACTACACCATACCAGGCTTTTACGGGGCTTTCCCTCAATGGAGTCATAGCCTCTATTCATTCTTTACAATGGAGTCAGAAATATCTAACATTATTTCTGTCATTTGATGCTGTGGAGAATTCAGTCAACCATTATTTCTGTCATTTGATGCTGTGGAGAATTCAGTCAACCAGCCTGATTATGGTTGGAGAATTCCTTCAAGCTTCTGCATCCCATGGCTTTCAAATGTTCAGTAGGGTTGCTATCTGTGCCTGCCTCCTTATTCTGTCCTCTGGAAAGGCAGCTAGCCTGTGACTGCTGCATATCAAGTGACTGGAACCAATCAGCTCTTGTAGAGCTTCCTCAGAAGCCAATCAAACATAGGGAAGTGACCTCAGCCAAGGGAGACCTATGTGGCTGAGAAAGCATCTCTCAGAGCTGAGTGTCCCTAAGTCATTCCCCTCCTTTGCACCCTTCTTATTTCCTTTATTTTTTAATTTTTAATTTTTTCCTTACTTCCTGTAAAGCATATCACCTGTTCTCTTGCCCCCAAACACAGAAGAGAGAAAGACTAACTAAATTCCACAAAGAACCAAAAGAGAAACCAACTCAGCCACACAGTGGCTTCTAGATTTGGAGAATAGAATATTCAGAGGGCTCCACACAGACATATTTTTCAAAGTGGGGTCTCCAGGGCCTGGAAGACAGTGACTGTGCTGAAGAATAATCAGCACCTTCTCCCTATTTCCTCCCCACACCTGGCTTTCTTGACTCTCCCCACTAAAATAGCTGCAATCATTCTTTGTAAACATGGACAAGATCAAGGTCAAGTATGGGAAAGAGAGGGTCTGTGCTCCTATGAACACATGTGAAAAGGCACAATCCTGTCCCTGTGGCCGAGGACCAGAGGTTCAGAAGTCAGCTGATCTTTAGGGTGTGAGCTATTTTTCCCTACTACTCACTCTTCACAGCCCTGCAAATGAATTTCCTGAATGCTCATGGGCAGGGCTAGACTGGGAGCATATGTCCCATCATTGTGGTGGGAGGGAAGGGGCAAAAGATAAGAAGGCTGTGTAACCCCCCAGGATATCACACTGGACACTAACAGGTAAGGAGAGAATGGCTCAGCTAAGCATCCCCTTCATTTCTCCAGCCCTCTCCCATCAGGCCTCACCTTGAAAAGAGAGACAGATAAAAATATTTTATTTAAAAATATAAAACTGGCTTTACTCCTCTTAACTGCTCCCACTCCCAGTTATTTCCACAAAGAACTCAATAAAAAATGGGCAAGGGCATATGTATAGCTGTCTCAGATCCAACAATTCCAGTTCTTCTTTTGACCTTCCTTTCTCCCTTTCATAAAATTAAGACATTGGTCCTTTGCCCTTTCCCCAAGATATCAGAAGTGGTACAAGGGTAGGGGGAGGGGAAGGGTAGAAAATGTCTGTTGTCATTCTCCATTTCTATTTCTAGGGACCAAACAGGTTATCTGGACTCAGAGCAAATAATTTCCTTGTCCACAAAACCAAACAATAGAGACAGTTACTTTCTATATCTTAAATTAGAAATGTATGAAGATACAGGCTGTTGTTTAGGGTCCTTTTTCAGTATATAGCCTCATCCATATGGTCATCACTGTCACCCCCAAAGTCCTCTCCATTGTCAAAATATGACATGATGTAATCAGTTTCCTGAAATAGAAAATAAAAGTCAGTTATGCTTTTGGCATTCTCCTTCTTCCCTATGTATCAGGTCCCTTCCCTCCCAATAGCACCATTCCAGGCGTAGAAATCCCTTCCAGTTGTAGTTTACTATTTATTTATTTAAAATGGTCATTTATTGATTTGAGAGAGAGAAAGGGAGAGAGAAACATCGATTTGTTGTTCCACTTATCTATGCATTCATTGGTTGATTCTTGTATATGCACTGACCCAGCTGCAATCTTGGCATATTGGGACAATGCTCTAACCAACTGAGCTACCCAGCAGGGCTAGTTGTAGTTTGCTCTTTAGAAAAGCCTACAGACAGCCCTGGCTGGTGTGGCTCTGTAGATTGGGCACCAGCCTGCAAACCAAAAGGTTGCTGGTTCGAAGCCCAGTCAGGGCACATACCTGGGTTGTGGGGCAGGTCTACAGTAGGGGGGTGTACAAGAGGCACCCACACATTGATGTTTCTCTCCCTCTCTTTCTCCCTCCCTTCCCCTCTAAAATAAAATCTTAAAAAAAAAAAAGTAAAGCCTACAAACAGATAAAGTGGAGGATACTATCCTTTGGAGGCAGTATCTCATTTGGCCCTCCAACCATCTGAAGGTGAACAGAGTTGAGATCTCCAGAGCTAATGAGGGCAAGAGAGAGGAACTGTGGGTAGAAGTAGGTCCCCTTCACCTCTTCATGTTCTTCTTCATCATACTCCTCTTCTTCTTCCTCTTCCTTCTCTTCTTCTTCTTTCTCCGCATCTTCCTCTGAAGTTAATTCTTCCTCCTTCTTCTCCAGGTTCTTATGTGAAGATGAATAATATAGGAAGACAAATTCTGACTCAGCTCACAGAACGGAAAATGAAGGCATACATGGGCCAAAGATGAAGGAATGGATCTGGGGCCAGGTGGTCCCTATGCACATTTCCTCCTACCTCTAGTTTCTGTATTGTTTCCTCCTTATATTCTGTGGTCTTAGGGGGCCTTTTGGGGAGTAGAATGGCGGACCCTGGTGAGAGGATCAAAAAGTAAACCATCAGAGAACTTCCTTGTTAGCTTCCTGCAGCGACCATATCACTCTGCTGCCCTCATGTGGCCCCCAAGGCAACCAACAACAATACTGGATGCTTTGGGTAGGAATTGGGAGGGCAGACCAGCAGCCTGGGCCCTCCAGTTGAAAAAGGAAATCTCTTTTCTTCTCTTTTCCCATTGTATACTCACGGTCTTTCTGTAGCTTCCTCACCCGGATCCTTAGTTCCCGGGGTAGACGTCGCCAATCTGGGAATAGTAGGAATGTAAAAGTCAGTAAGACCCTGCTTGGGTCTCCTATGAATGAGTTATTTTTCATAAAGTTTTTATTTATTTATTTTTAGAGAGAGAGGAAGGGAGGGAGAAAGAGAGGGAGAGGAACATCAATCTGGGGACAAAACCCACAACCCAGGCAACCTAGCCATGTGCCCTGACCGGGAATCAAACCCACAACCTTTTACTTTGCAGGACGATGGATGTTTTGCAGGACAAATGGATGCAGGAAAATGGGCAGCCAACTGAGCTGCACCAGTCAGGACAGAATGACTAGTTTTAAGGGAGAGATAAGAGTGAGGCAAAAGGTGATAAAGAAAGGGGTTGGGTCAAATTTGTTTGGAACAAAACTGGTTTTGATATCTTCAGGGCAGTGCGGGCTATCTAATAGGTTTTTAGATAGAGCCTGAGAGTGTTTGTAAATACTGAATGAAGTAAGGGTGGGGAGACACAAAGAAGGATGAATGGGGTGAGAGACAGTGGTTTGAGGCCTATCAAACATTTGAAAGAAGGGCAGTTAATGAAAGAACCCAGCACCTACCAGGGTTCCAATCAATGGCATTGTCAATAGGTCCTGACATCTGATATTTGTCTGAGTAACGCTCCACATCTGAGGGATCAGAGGCCAAGGTAAAAGTTTCATCCTTTCAGAGGCCTAGAACAGGGTTGTTCCTCAGGGCCTAGCCCTCTCAATACTTAGAAATTGTCTGTCCCTTCAGTCCAAACCTAGAGCCCAGCGGGGTCAAGCTTCAGTAAGAACCTAAAATTACAATGTTTTTGTTATCTTCCTTAACCCCAAAACATGACTATATCAAGAGGTAATGTGATACAGTACAAAGTATATTAGAGAGCAAAAACCCAGAGTTTCTGTCTTCTCTTTACTTCTTGTTAATGGGGCTAACTTATGAGCTCCAGCTTCTAGGGCTTCAGTAGGAAGGCACCAGTCGTCAATATCCTGAAATACTGTACTTCCCCAGCAGTTAGTAAGTATCCGCTATCCTAAGCCTCCCGAGTATACCCCCCTTCTCCAGTCCCTCCTGATATCCCTGACTTCTCCACAATCCACTAACCAAAAAGTTAGCAGGGTAGTTATTAGCAGGGTAACTCAGAGAACCAACACCAGTCTCCCTTCTGCCTGGTTAATGCCTGTAATAACTAGATTGTTAAAAATTTAATATATAACCCCATTTATACATGTGAAATGGGCATCTTAACACTTAACCTCCTACTGTCCCAATACTATCTTGAGACACAAGACCAACCCAAGATACTGTCATGCATTGCAAATGCAGGGATAATTATTATGATCTCCTGAGTTAGACAGTGAGCTTCCTGTGCCTCTTCTGGCATCTCTGGCCCCCAGCAGTGCTGAATATGAGGCACTGCTCATGGAAGGCACTCAGAATATTCCAACTGACCTCTTTTGGGGACAGCTGGCCGGATGAAGTAGGGGAGCTGCCTCATGGCCCCTCGTAGCTCCTGCTTCAGTGCCAGGACATATTCCCCTTCCTCTCCTGAGGGCAGAGGCACTGGGTAGAACTCCAATGGCTGAGGAAGAAGGGGCAGTGGTCAGTCCAGGGAGAAAATGCTGGAGTAAAAATCCAGGAGGGTGTCTCCCCCCAATTCAATCCAATGCTCCTACTGAGCAAAGGACCAAAAACTAATGAGGTTCATAACATTAGCATTTTGAAAGCTGGGGAGCTGGGATTAAGAGAAGTAAGGGTAGACATTTCCTTGCCTTTAAAACATCCCATGCAAGCTAGGTGCATAGAGACAGGGAGAAGCAAGATTAGGATGGTTTTGTGATGGCCCAGGAGAAATCCAGGATTATATACAGTTAATCAGGGGCACTTGGGAGGCTTGGGAATGGAGGATAGACACTCACCGGGAAGAGTGGAGAAGGCTGCAGGGTAGGTGGCGGCAGAGCATCCCCCTTCCCAATGCCCACAGCCTCTGTATTGAAGGTCAACTGGCCCCGGCCCCGCCCCCGGCCCTGGCCCCCACCCCAGCTGGCCATGGTGGAGGGGGCCTGGGTATTCAGAGATCCAGTAAGAAAAACCTGGGAAAGACAAAAACAAAGAGAAAAAGTACAATAGAATGGATAGGAAGCCAAGGAAGCTAAAAAGCTAGTGTAATTTAACAAATTTTGATTAAGAATGCATGTGCCAGGCAGGGTATTTCTGGAAATATAAATAATGAATGAGACATGGTCTCAACAGGACAGATAATTGCAATATAGTGTAACTGCAGCACAAGAGGAAGTGATAAAATCCTTGGATAAAACTTCCCTACATCCCTGAGATAATTTGATGTCACCATCTGCATATCTACATATGACTTTTTAATTCTTCCTCTCCCTAGCATTCCAAATCTAAGCAGGCCCCAATTCAATCCAGTTTAATTCATTTCAATAAAGCATTTATTAAGCACATACCATGAAAAAGGTAGTGTGCCAGGCATTGTGGAAAAACAGGGTAAGTCTCAGTCTCACTGTCAGTGGCAGGAGGTGAGTGGGAAGATGGAACCATTACAATCAAATTAATCTTTGTAAACACCACTTAGAAGCACAGAACTTAGTGCAAACCCCCTTAGAGTATAGTACTCCACTCTGCAAGTTGTTAAATTATTCTGCTTCTAGTGACATTTTCCTAAAGCCCTGACTGGTGTGGCTCAGTTGGTTGGGTGTCATCTCACAAAGTGAAAGGTATCTGGTTCAATTCCTGGTCAGAACACATGTCTGGGTTGCAGGTGTTCAGTCCTCAAACACAGCACCTATGAGAGACAACCAATCAATGTTTCTCTCCCTCTCTTTCTCCCTTCCTTCCCTTCTCTAAAAATAAACAAGTAAAACTTTGTTTTTAAGGTGAGAGTGTTCATTCTCCCCCATGGCAGCTCATTCCGCCGTAATCAACTCTGATGAATTGAAAGTTCCTCCTGCTACTGAAATGAACTCTGCCTCTTGTCATCATCAGTCTTGAAGGGACAGTCAGAAGCCACTAGAATGGGGGATAAAGCCATCAAATAAAAATGAAACTTGAAAGAAATGATACCCTAGAAACAAGAAACACACCTAGCACCCAGATCTTGGTTTCTAATACCGTTTTCCAATACAAGGAATCAAGGCTTCTTGGGGAAATGGCTGAGGCAGTAAATATACAAGACGAGACTTAAGTATCTTCTAGTGCCAGAAAGTAAGAAAGTGCTAAAAATAAACAAAACATAATAACACACACGTCAAAGAAGCCTAAGAGTCCAATGAAAGAGCTCCCAATGGCCAAAGTGAGAACAGTTTCAGCAATAAAATAAAATAGTATTGGATTACAACCCAAAAGTATACAATAAAAAAGTATAAAATCCATGAGTTTGTACTACTATAAATAATGATTGAATAAATTAATACACAACAGAGAAAAGACAAATATTTCACGCAGAATTCCAAATTCACTTTGTATACTCCTCTAAAGACAGAGGGTAGGACTCCCCTCTCCTTAAATGTGGACTGTATATAGGGAATTTTGTCCAATACAATTTTTAAAAGGGGGATAGTAACTTTACAATGGAGAAACTGGATGAATACCACTTTAGTCAGGTGACCAAGGTCAGTATCAACAATATTAATTCATGTTAAATTAAGGTACCCTTAATACTGAAATTATAAAAATGTCACTTTACCACTTTACCTTTGTGATCCTCATCATCCAAATCCATAACCCCAGTCTAATCAGGAGAAAAACATCAGACAAATTCCAGCAGAGGAGCATCCTATCATATACCTGACAAGTACTCTTTAATATGATCAAAGTCACCAAAAACAAGGAAGGTCCATGCTTCCATTGTAAAAGAGAGAGAGCTGTCCTAGTGACAGCATTCTTAAAAATAAAAAAACACCATCCCCTTTGTTTTATTATAGAATATACACTTATTCTAGAAAACTTGGAAACACATAAAAGTATAAAGAAAAATACCTATTATTTCATGATGACCACCATGTAGTAATAATAATTATTAATATTTTTTATTTATTGATTTTGGAGAGAGGGAGAAAGAAAGAAACACTGATTTGTTGTTCTACTTATTTATGCATTCATTGGTTGCTTCTTGTATGTGCCCTGACAAGAGATCAAACCTGCAACCTTGGCATATCAGGATGATACTTTAACCAACTGAGTAACCTGGCGAGGATCTCCATTATTAATAGTTTAATATGTATCCTTTTAACTTCATTTCCATGTATACATACATGTACATACACATAATAGGGATATGACAAGTAAATGTAGAATGGTATTCTGGATGGAATCCTGGAATAGAAAAAGAACAGTAGGTAACACTATGAAAATATGAATCAAGTATGACCTTAAATAATTATATTTTATCAATATGCTTTCATAATTGCAACTAATGTACCATATTAACATATGATGCTAATAATAGGGGAAACTGTGTGCCAGGGAACAACCCTATACAGGAAACAACCCTACTATCTGTTCAATTTTTCTACAAATCAAAATTGTTTTAAGAAGTAAAGTCTATTTTAAAGTAACCTGATGCTCTGGCTGGTGTGGCTCAGTGGATTGATTGCCAGCCAGCAATCCAAAGCGTCACCAGTTCTACTCCCAGTCAGGGCACATGCCTGGGTTGCGGGCCAGGTCAGCTCTACTCCCAGTTGGGGGTGTGTGAGAGGCAACTGACTGAGAAACTGATGTTTCTCCCCTCTCTTTTTCCCTCCCTTTCCCTCTCTCTAAAAATAAATAAATAAATAAATTTTTTAAAACTTGAGCATTTTGAAATTCACAGTTTCCCAGATCTTTCTTGTTTTTGATTACCTTGACTGTATTAAAGAATACTGGTCAGGTATATGATTGGATGCTCCTCTGCTGGAATTTGTCTGATGTTTTTCTTCTGATTAGACTGGGGTTATTGGTTTTGGGGAGGAGAATCACAGAGATAAAGTGCCATTTCATCACATCATATTAAGGATAAATACTAATATATTAGGGAACAATAAATACAGTATATAATTAAGATCTCTTAAATTAGTGATTTATAATATAATTGTCCCCACAGTCTGGAGGAGGGAGAAAACTAGGAGGTCTGGGATGCTGAGAGGAGGCTTTATAAATATAAATCACAAGGTCTCAAGTTTGGAAGAACCCTTAGAAATCATGCATTTCTTCATGCGACAAATATTTATTGGACAGCTACCATATGCCAGACACAATGTCAGATAATGGGGATCATAGTGAAACTTCTATTCTAGATTTGCATCCTTCCTCTGATAAACCATAATTAGTAAATTGTTATTCATTATCTTTATTCGATTTATCGAATCGTTATTCAAACTATCTTTAGTGAGAGACCCCCTATTTCACTTTGCAGGTACTTCCATTTTTGGATATTTGTTCTTCAATTAATATCCAACAAATTCTCTAGACAAGAAATATATGACTCAATGAAGGGCATTCTACGAAAGATTAGTTGGGAAAAAAAAGATTAGTTGGTAAAAAAGATTTTTAAATATTTATAAAATAATTTTTATACACACCCCTACATAAATAAAAAATGTTCTTAAAAGGTATGAGGGGGACCCAAAAAACCCATAATTTATTTATAAAATATTGTGTATTTATTCTTACATGTTTAAACTTTAGTCACCTTCAAAGTCCTCTTTATTTGATACAATACTCCTAGTGAGACTTTTTTCCACTGCTCAAAACAGTTTTTGAACAGATTTTGATGCCTTTTAGTGCTTCTGCCATTTTTTGTTTCATCTTTTCCATGTCAGCAAAACACTTACCTTTGAGGACTCTTTTAATACAAGTAAACAAAAAAGAGTCACTCAGGGGCAATATTGGGTAAATAGCAAGGGTGGCACACCATTTTTTGATCAAAAACTGATGAACACTCAGCGTGGTGTGCTCATAAATCATCCATCACGAGATGGGCAAATATGTTGAAAGATACTTCAAAAAAAATTCACTTAAGTGGGAACACAGCCTTTCACAACACCACCAGCTGGTGCACTGATACAGATGGATTCCTAGAATACTCACCTAGCAGGGGAAACCTGAACTACAAGGCCCTCCAGAAGATAATTCTGGGATTTTAGGGGGTTCCCCCTTCGTATACACCAAAATTAACACTGGTTAATTTGAGGTGTGTTTCTTTTTATTTGGAGGGGGGGCTGTTATTTGTATTTTAAGATTCTTTTCTATACTGAATAGGTACTGTTTTTGTAATTAGAGAAAAATATTAATTTAAATTTAAAAACACATACTAACAATAGCAAATGAGACTAATATGTAGCAGGAAGGAGAGGGTAAAAAAATATGTGTCAAAAATAGACAGGGGGGAGGGCAAGAATAGTATGGAAAATATAGAATCTAAAGAACTTGTGACACATGGACATAAAAGGGAAGGAATGGTGGGGGAGGGGTGTGCAGGGTGAAGGGGAATGAAGGGGGGAATAGGACAACTGTAATGGCATAATCAATAAAATATATTTAAAAAAATATGTGTCTCAGGAAAGTTTCAAGTCCAACTGCCACAAAAAATGTGAAGAAAAAATGGCTGTTAATTAATAGATTTAATTGTGATCTGACTGAAAGAGCATATTAGGGGAGAGAGGAAGCCTCATGCATCCTGGAGAAGGAATTAGAATTCATCACCATATCTTTAGGCCTTTTCAAGGGAAAGAACACTCTAATCAGCTGCCTTGGGTCTCTTTCCACTTGACAGATACAGTTCTAGCAGTGGAGCTGTTTTGGCAAAGGAGTGAGGAGCCAGGAAAAGACCATGAGTTTTGAGGTTAGATAAATCTAACTCCATTTCCACATATCTACCAAGTGACTCCCAAAGAAGTGAGGTAAAAGAAAACAAAATTTTATTTAATTCAGGTAATAAACTGGTGTTTGAAAAACTAACCCATCCATCTCTACCCCACTTAGTTCAGTAATTACAATGAGTCTCTTAGATTTAAAATTGTGACTGAGTCTCAATTCTTGAAGATATTTAAAGTCTCACAGAATCTGGTCCCAAACTATTCCTCTTTAATATCAACCCTCCCTAATGTCCAGCTCTGCATTCTCCTTCCCCTAAAACTACATTTCATGTACTTTATACTTATTCCCAATTTTGCATAATGGGTTGCAACAAAACATACAGAAAAACAATTACATCAAATTTAAGGAGGGCTTTACATGTAGTGGTTAAGAACATGGACTTGAACCCCAGTTCTGCCACTTCTCAGGTACATAACCTTGAATAATGTATTTTAAATCTCTAAACCTGTTTCTTCATGTGTAAAATGGGAATAATAAAAATAGAGCCATCTTAATTCATTCAATAAATATTTACTGAGTGCTTACTCTGTGCCAGGCACTGTTCTAAGAAATCCAGGGACTGAGGCCTAGGGCGTTCTAATGTTTAGGCTTTTCTATATTTATAATAAATAAGACAAGGAGTTAACACTTATTATATTAGAATCTATGGAAGTCCAAATAGGAAAAAATCATCTTCAAAAAGTAAACGTGCAAAGGACATGAATAGACAACTGACAAAAGAATAAGGAATAAAACCATGCTTTACCTGTCAAACTGACAAAGATTTAAACAATAATCAGGCTGTCATGAGTTTTGTGGAGATGGACACTCTCATATTTCACTAGAACACAATCTTTTAAGAGAGCGATTTGACCACTTGGATCAACAGCCTTTTTTTAATGTTCATATACTTAATACACTAATGTTATTTTAAAAATCTAGCCTAACCCTGGCTGATGTGGCTCAGTGGACTGAGCACTGGCCTGAGAAGTGAAAGGTCACCAGTTTGATTCCCAGTCATGGCACCTGCCTGGGTTTCAGGCCAGGTTCCCAGCTGGGGGTATGTGAGAGGTAACTGATGGATGTATGTATCTCTCCCTCTCTCTCCCTCCCTTCCCCTCTTTCTAAAAGTAAATAAATAAAATCTTTTTTTTTGTTTATTTATTTATTTATTTTTTTAAATTGATTATGCTGTTACAGTTGTTCTATTCCCCCCTTCATTCCCCTCCACCCTGCCCCCCCATCCCCACCATTACCCCCCTTTAGTTTATGTCCATGTGTCTCAAGTCCTTTAGGTTCTATATTTCCCATGCTATTCTTGCCCCCCCATCTCTTTTCTATCTACTGTCTATGCTACTTATTTTCTGTACCTTCTCCCCCCTTCTCCTCCTCCCACTCCCCTGTTGCTAACCCTCCTTGAGATCTTCATTTCTATGTTTCCACTCCTGATCTAGCTGTTCTTTTAGTTTGCTTTTGTTTTAGGTCTGGTTGTTAATAACTGTGAGTTTGTTGTCCTTTCACTGTTCATGTTTTTTTAACTTCTTTTTCTTAGATAAGTCCCTTTAACATTTCATATAATAAGGGCTTGGTGATGATGAACTCCTTGAATTTGATCTTATCTGAGAAGCACCTTATCTGTCCTTCCATTCTAAATGAAAGTTTTGCTGGATAGAGCAATCTTGGTTGTAGGTCTTTAGATTTCATGACTTGGAATACCTCTTTCCAGCCCCTTCTTGCCTGGAAGGTCTCTTTTGAGAAATCTGCTGACAGTCTGATGGGGACTCCTTTGTAGGTGACTGTCCCCTTAGCTCTTGCTGCTTCTAGGATTCTCTCCTTCATTTTAATTTTGGCTAATGTAATTATGATGTGCCTTGGTGTGTTTCTTCTTGAGTCCAACTTTTTTGGTACTCTCTGAGCTTCTTGGATTTCTTGGAAGTCTATTTCCTTTGCCAGATTGGGGAAATTTTCTTTTATTATTTGTTCAAATAAGTTTTCCACTGGTGGTTGTGTCTTTCCCCCTTCTGGTACCCCTATAATTCGGATATTGGAGCGTTTAAAGATATCCTGGAGGTTCCTAAGTCTCTCCTCATTTCTTTGAATTCTTGCTCCTTGACTCTTTTCTGTTTGGCCATTATTTGCTTTCTTCTGGTCCACTCCATTGATTTGAGTCCCAGTTTCCTTTTCAACGCTATGGGTTTCCTGTGGAATTCCATTCATTTCCATTAGTTTAGCCTTCATATGTTTCTCTAATTTGTGGCTATAATCAACCAGATCTGTGAGGATCCTGATGACCAGTGTTTTAAACTGTGCGTCTGAGAGTTTTGCTATTTCTTCGTCGCTTAGATTTATCTCTGGGGCTTTGAGGTCTTCCTGCAACATTTTTGGTCTGTTCTGGCCCTTTAAATGTGAGAAGTGGCGCCTTGGACTCCCAGGTCGCTGGGTTGTGACGCTGTATGTGGGGGGCGTGGTCAGAGCGGGGAAATGGCGGCGCCCTCTACCGCCGCTAGCCACGGGGACGCTGGGCCCCGGGCCCCGGTCCAACCGCCCACTCCCTCGCCTGTCCGCTTGCCCGCAAATAGGCAACCGTAGTCAACACGCAGCACCGCCTCTCCACTGTCTCCTCTGCAGTCGCTCACCCGGTGGGTTGCTCGGTCGCTCACTAGGTCCAGTCCTGCGTTTGGAACCCGTGCGTCTGGATTCCGTGCCCGGGTCCGACTCAGTCCTCCTGTGCAACCCCTCACGAGACGCCGGTTTCGCCCCTTACCAGTCGGGCTGAAGAATTTGTTGTTAATGGACTTCCGAAAAGTTCAATTTTCCGTGTTCTGGTTGTGTTTTCTGATGCTAATATTTAGTTGTCCCTAAACTTGGTTGTGTGAGAAGGCACGGCACATCCACCTATACCTCCATCTTGGCGGAAGTCATAAAATCTTTTAAAAAATAAAAATCTATCCTAAAGAAATCAGGTATATAGTCAGAGATATAAGTTCAAGGATGTTCATCAAAGAGCTATCCATATTAGCAAAACTTCTGAAGTAACAAAAAAGAATGGTTTAAAAAGTTCAAAATACCACCCTGGCTAGAGTAGCTCAGTGGATTGAGTGCAGACTGCAAACCAAAGAGTTGCTGGTTCAATTTCCAATCAGGACACATGCCTGGGTTGCAGGCCAGGTCCCTAGTATGGGGTGTGTAAGAGGCAACCACACACTGATATTTCTCTCCCTCTCTTTCTCCTTCTCTTCCCCTCTCTCTGAAAATGAGTAAATACAATCTTTTTTAAAAAGTCAAAATATCCATTTTAGACTATTATGTAGCCATAAAATGAATTCAAATAATATTTAAAGGCAAAAAGTCACAATATAATATAAAGTGGGGAAAATATGACATAAAAATGCATTTATTGCAGGGCCTTATTTGTGTAATACATATACACACATGCATATGTATACATGCAGAGAAGAAATTGAAAGGATACATATTAAAATAATAGTAATGGTTATGCCTACATCATGGTCATAAAATAACAGATATTTTTCTTTACATCTTTATGTGATTCTAAATTTCTGGAATAAATGTTGCTTCTATAATCAGAAAGCAAGAGGGATAGTGTTCTTTATTTTTAAGAATACTACCTCTAGGCCAGCTCTCCCTCTTTTACAATGGAAGGGTAGAATGCATTTTTTGAGGTACATATTTGTTGAATATTAATTGAAGAATAAATATCAAAAAGTGGAAGGACCTGCAAAGTGAGATAGAGTTCTTTGACTAAAGGCAATTAAATAGAAACTGAATAACAATTTACTACATATCATTTACCAGAGGAAGAATGTAAGTCTAGAGTAGAGGATTCATTATGATCCCCATTGTCCAGCACTGTCTGGCATATAGTAGATGCTCAATAAATATTTGCTCAATGATAAAATTATTTCTAAGGTTTCTTTCAAACTTGAGGCCTTGTGATTCATAAAGCATCCCCTCACCATCCCATTCTTTCTAGCTTTCTCTGAACTGTGGGAGCAATTACTATATTATGAATGACTAATTTTAAGAGACCTTAATTTATACTGTCTTATATTTTATCTTTTATTAATTGCTCCATAATTACATTAGTTTAAATTCTGCATCCCCAATCAATTCCATTTAATTAACCTTTAGTGGGCACTGTGCATTAAGAATCTGCCCTACAAAACCTTATATTCTGGGAATAATAGAAACATTAAAGAGGCAGGGTGCACAAAGTACTCTAATAGAGGTATGCATAAAATGCTATCATCTGACAGAGGAACAATTAATTCTTCAAAAACAAAACGGTGGTTCAGGAAACTTACAAGTAGAAAGTAAGTAACCTTTCAGCTTGATCGATAACGAAAGTCTGTCAGCCTCTTAGTGAAATACTATTAATAGATTCGAGGAAAGCTGACGCTATTGCAAAGTCAGGAGTATGAAAGTGAGTGTTTTTCACTTTTGTTTTGAAATCTCTTGCCTATACGCAAAAGAAAACTACGGTTTTCTGATATACTAATCAATATAGCAATGGGAACCCAGAAGAGAAAGGGTAGGGATCCAGAGGAGAGCCGACCCAACGGACTGCCCAAAACCTTAGTTTATCTCGCATCTTGGCGAACTAGTACAGGAAATGTGGGACAGAACCAAGTCAGAACCACCAGGACCCAGCCTTACCTGCTGCCCCTCCCCCACACGGAGCCCAAGCCGCAGCCAACTTGAAATCTCCTCTTCCTCAAGCTGCTGCTGTTCGGTGTCCTCCTCCTAGAGCTCCCCATTGGTGAATTCTCCCCGCCAATCTAGGAGAAGCAGAGGGAGGTCCGCCCACTCGAAGCTGAGAAAGAGAAGGAGGGAGGAAGTCAGCTGGAATCCAGGGCTAAGGATTCTGGATCGGAGACAGATGAGGTTGCAGAATCAACCAAGGCTTAGTTATATACGATCTCATCCCAGACGGAGGAGCCACTGGCTAGCGAGAGATTATAGAGAGAACCTGACTTCAGATCTTACCGATCGACGGACTGTTGAGGGACCTCTCACAGAGAAATGAACCCTTATGAAACCTACTCATTAGAGATTATTCTTTTTTGTTACCGGCTTCACAGCTTGGCCTCTTCGCCATTACTCCAACCTTCCCTTCAATCTTACACTAATTCCCTATAGTACCACCAATGAATAATTCTTTACTTAAAAAAAAAATTTTTTTCCCTGCGGGTTATTGCCATGTCTGTGAGAAGATGGCAAAAAGGTTTGGGGAAGGAAGGGTTAGGAATCAGAGAACCAGAGTTGGGGAGGCAGGGCAGAAGCCCAGTGAGTGTTTCCTGCATTTTTCACTACCTTCCAGCTGCTCCCAGCCCTAGGTAAAGGGAACACAGTGAGTAGAGGAGTTCTGCTTTCACACATGCACACACACAAACAGAAGGAAAGAGTTCAGTGTGGTGATAAAATCTAGCAGTGAGTCAAAAATATCCCAAATGTCAGAGAAAATGACCCTGAAAGTAAGCCTCTGGACTTGAAAGGAAGGCTGTATGAGTAGTGGCAAGGGCCCAGTCTTTGGAATAGCACAGAAACAAAGCTGTGAGGCTTTGGAGCACTTGCTTAACTTCATTAAGTCTCTGTTTCTACATCTACAGCAAGAAGATAATTCCTTCCTCATAGAGTTGTTTTGAGGATTGGAGGTAATGTATGTAAAGTACTTGACACACCATTTATGTTGTCCAATAAATGGTAGCTAGTAAAAATGGGTAGCTTCCCAGCAAATATTTCTCTCTCCCTTTTCTCCAGGAACATTAGTTTTAGTATTTTGTGGCTGGTGGCCTCCAGCTTCTGAATTATCTCAGGTGCGTTTTCCAAGTCCTTAGGATATTTTCTTCATCCCCATTTTCACTGATGCCTTCCAGCTGGACACAAATTCATTCCTAAAACATGCAAATGGAAGCTATGAAACCATGGAGACAGGGCAGGTGGCAAGGAGAGGCAGAGACCAGAGAAACCGATTGGGACAGGTAGGGGAAAGAAACTTAAGGAGCGATTTGGACAGAGACTTCAAGCAAAATGAAAAAACAATGAGTGTAGGCCCTGGCCAGGTAGCTCAGTTGGTTAAAGCATCAACTCCCATATGCTAAAGTTGGTGAGTTTGTCCCCAGTTAGGGCACATACAAGAATCAACCAATGAGTGGAACAACAAATTGATGCTTTGCTTCCTCTCTTAAGAATCAATGAAAATAAAATCATAATAAAAAAAACCCGAGTCTTAAGTAAGACAGAGTAAAGAGATGCAATGAGATAGGATGTGTTACAAGGTTTGCTCTCCTCTCTGCCCCTTTTCTATCCTCCCCCTCCCCCTCCCCCTCCCAAGAATATGGGGAAGAGGCATCTAGGAATGCCCCTTGGCTCTTTCTCAAAATGACCCAAAATATCCACCCTCCTCATGCTTATTTAAGAGGTATATACAAGGGAGCTAAGAGCCAAGTTTATGTATGCTGTGTGCTCTGTTGGGGGGGGGGGGACGGGGTGTGGAAAGACGGTGTACCATTGTGTTTGACTCCAGCTCTCCCTGACATTTAAACTATGAGAAACCAGCCAGATCTCTTGCCACTCTGCACAGTATGGCTCCGGCTGCAGATCCCAATCGCCTCTCTCCACCCCTCTGCAAAATGTATCCTGAGCCGTTTGTGGTGGTAGGTCATGTCTGGCGCATAAGCGCGCAGAAACACGACAGGCGAGAATGGAGATCTGCTGAAGCTCAAGTAAGAACTGGGTTGCTCTCAGTCTGGGTCTCGGAGAAATCTCCTAGGGAACATTTAGATTTGCTGGGACCGAGGGGAGGTCAGCCAAGTAAGAACAATCAAGACTGGAGCCTCTAGGTTTCGAGGGTTTATGTTGCATGGGTGGGGGAACGGTTTGGTGCCCGACGCCCCCACCCGAAGAAACTAGGCTATAAATAGCAAGGCAGAGCTCCGCCTTTCGAACTCCCCCCACCCCCACCCCAGCTTCTCTCCTCCCCAGCCGGCACTGTGCCCAGGGCGCACCGGGAGGAGGGACCAGGATCTGGTACCCAGGCGCAGATACTGACACCAAAGGAATCGGGTACCACCCCCCACGCCATGTGGGACCCCGGGAGCCCGGCTGCATTATCCCAGCTGCCAGGTGGCCCTGGCCTCAGTCCTGGCCAGGCGGAGATTCTGCAGACATTCAGGTATTTGGGCGCCCAGCCTGGGAGGCGAAAGAGCAAGGAGTGATGGGGAACACAGCAGGGGCAAAAGAAACCCCCGATTTTCCCCCACCCGTTTTAGGTCCCAAATGCAAGCTGCCCCCCACCCCTCAATTTATGAGGCTGTGGCAACCTAAAAGAGGTTAGAAATAGGAATGTGTGGAATGAGTGCATGTGCGTGGGTGGGTGGCATTCAGCATCCTAAAAAACGGGGATTCTAAGTGCAGATAAGGAAAGGAGGATGCTGGAAAGGTCTGATAAGCCGTGGGGTGAGGGTGGAGGTGCGGATATCTCTGAGCACGCAAGTACGTGCTCGTCCTCTAATGCGGGTGCACCCTTCCCACCTCCTCAGGCATGCTCTGGGGGGAGGGCGCGGCTCAAAGCAGGAGTTAGAGGAAGGACTGTGTGCCTAGCAGTGGAGATCTCCTCCGCCCCACGGGCCCTTCCACTGGTGCCTAAGCTTCCCTGCCTGAATCCGTAGATAAGATCTCTCTTTTTCTCACAGGGATTGGTTTCGCCACTGAGCCCTGAGGCCTCTTCCAGCCACCACCCCCACACCCCTAGCCTTCCTCGGCAGGTGCCAGTCCCGGCTCCATCAGTGCTCTTATCCCAGCCGCAGCTATGCTGCATACCGAGGGCCACGCTCTTCTTCGGGCTGTGGGTCAGGGTAAACTACGCTTGGCCCGTTTGCTTCTGGAGGGAGGTGCCTACGTTAATGAGGGTGATGCCCAGGGGGAGACTGCGTTAATGGCGGCTTGTCGGGCCCGCTACGACGACCCCCAGAACAAGGCGCGTATGGTACGCTACCTTCTGGAGCAAGGCGCAGACCCCAACATCACAGACCGCCTAGGGCGTACAGCGCTCATGCACGCTTGCGCTGGGGGTGGGGGAGCCGCAGTAGCCTCGCTGCTCCTTGCCCATGGAGCAGATCCCTCAGTTCGAGATCACACGGGCGCCTCGGCACTAGTCCACGCCCTGGACCGTGGGGACCGCGAGACCCTTGCCACGCTGCTGGACGCCTGTAAGGCCAAGGGCACGGAGGTCATCATCATCACCACCGACACCTCGCCCTCCGGCACCAAGAAGACCCGGCAGTATCTCAATTCCCCACCATCCCCGGGGGTAGAGGACCCCACTCCCTCTCCTCCTGGCCCTGGGGTCTGCACGTCGCCTTCGGAAATCCAACTGCAGACTTCAGGAGGAGGACAGGGTTTGTTATCCCCTCGCACCCAGGAAGAAGAGGAGAAGCGAGACGTATTTGAATTCCCTCTCCCTAAGCCCCCCGATGACCCTTCCCCTTCTGAGCCGCTCCCCAAACCACCCCGTCACCCTCCCAAACCTCTCAAAAGGCTCAACTCCGAGCCCTGGGGCCTAGTGGTTCCTCCTACCCCAGTCCCGCCCACAGAAGGGAGGCTGGGGATAGAGCGCCTGACCTCCGAATTTAACGGCCTGACCCTGGCTTGTCGACCTCGTCTTTCCAGACGTCACAGCACCGAGGGCCCGGAGGACCCGCCCCCATGGGCAGAGAAAGTGACGGGTGGGGGTCCCCTCTCACGCAGAAACACTGCGCCAGAAGCTCAGGAGTCTGGACCTCCTTCAGGGCTGAAGCAAAAACTGAGCCGCATGGAGCCGGTAGAGCTCGATGCCACTGGAAATCTTTGCCCTGACTCGCCGGAGTGCTGCCGCCTGTCTTTGGAGCGCCGCCGATACAGCGCCTCCCCGCTGACTCTCCCTCTAGCAGGTTCGGCTCCTTCCCCACGCCAGTCCCAGGAAAGTCTGCCTGGGGCTGTGTCTCCGCTGAGTGGGAGAAGGCGGAGCCCGGGGCTGCTGGAGCGGAGGGGCTCGGGAACGTTGCTTCTGGACTACATCTCGCAAACGCGGCCAGGTTTCCTACCTCCGCTCAATGTTAGCCCCCACCCTCCCATCCCCGATATTCGCCCCCAACTTGGATGTCGGGCGCCTTCGCTGCCCGCTCCTCCCCAGGCGGGGGCGCCAGGTTCTCCCAGGACCAAGCGCAAATTGGTGAGGCGCCACTCCATGCAGACGGAACAGATTCGCCTACTAGGGGGCTTCCAGAGTCTAGGCGGGTCAGGGGAGCCAGGGCGCTGAGAGGAGTCAGAAGGGTGAGGATCAGGACTTTGATGGGACAGGTAGGAGAACCAGCTCACACACAAAACCACGGACATAGGGGGCTTTTACATGTGCTCCTGGGCACGGTGCACGCACACGTGGGCAACCGTGTCCACACGCACAGGTACTCTATTCGCAGGGAAGGGTAAGTACTCTACTTACTGGGCTTGTAGACACATGCATTCATGCCCTGGTCACTTGACATGCCTATGAGAATTACTTGTATACACACCCACAGGCACAACACACACAGGGCCCCTTATGCCAGGGTCCCAAATGGGTCCCAAAATCACTTGCGTTTTGTTCAGAAGCAATAGGGACCCCCTACTTATGGGTGGTCTCCAATCTCTTTGCCCTACTACGGAAGCAATCTCTTGCTTTCCATATATGCCCTACAACGCAGCCATGATTCCGCACATTCTACCCTCTTCGTGAATATTTCACCTCATTCTTCAGGTCTTCCTTCTTTCTCCAGGCCTGACTCCTGGTTCACACCCTGCTTCCAGTCCTAACCATTGTTCAGGATATCTTCACTCTCCTTGGGGGTTTCCTGCAGCAATGCCCAGCCTGAGTTCTGCTGCTGCCCTTCCGATCTCAGCTTTACTTCTCAACTTCCTGCTTTTTATTCCCACCCTGTGCTCCAACCCATACAACAGGTTGTCTCATTTTCCAAGTGGGTGGGTCAGTTTATGACCTCCCCCCAATAACACACAGGTAGAAGTGGGGGAATAACCCTAAATCACTCCTCTATCCACATATCAAATAAATGTGTTCAGAAGTCTCTGTTTTGTCTCTTCTACTGTGGGGTGTGGGGAATGAGTAATGGGGAGGGAGGGTGATGCTAATTATAATTATGATGATCTCTAGGGAAGACTCAGAGGTTCCACCCATCTTCCTTCCAGGAGTCCAACTGACCAACTGTGATTGTGGAAGAAAAGGCAAGTGTTCTGTGTCCTTGAGGTTTTAAAGCGGTTGACATGCTTCCTTTTCCCCCAGTCTTCCCTATGTCTATCCTCAAATTCTTTAAGAATCCCTCCAGTATCAGTAGATATAACCCAATAGATTATGTCCCTTTTTCAAGCTTCCTGTGTCTTGACCACTCACATGTTTTCCACTCACCTGGTTTTCCACCAGGTTCTAACTTTCATCTCATCAGCTGCATTTCATTAATTTTCTTCCGGCCTCTATTTCCTCATCCTTGATTTCAGGGGGTGGGGGGAGAATAAGTACAACCTCACCTAGGTAAAAGTGGCATGATGGTCAACTGACAAAGAATGTGTAGTGTGTGTGTCTCTAAGAGTACTCAGAGGAACCCAATCTGACAGATTCTACAAACAAGGGCACCTGTCTTAATCCGCTCTCTGGACCTCTCAGTTTGCTTGTTCTCTGCATATATTCTAACTCTTCCTCACCCTAATAGGAGGTAAGGGAGCATCCCATTCTACTCTTTCTTACTCCTCCAACTTTGAATAGGTGAAATCAGAAAATTACCCAACAATGTGGTATCATGAGAAGATCAAAATATCGGGACTCAGAAGACCTATGTTTAACGCCTCCCTTGCAGTCTCCTAGCTATTTAATTCTGTGCAATTTAGCCTCTCGGAGTGTGTTTCCTTACTTGTAAAATACTAAAATTGAATTAGTGATTCTGACATAGTAAACATTTTCTTATGAAATGTCAGCATCTTCCCTTGCATGTGATCTTGGATTAGTCACCTCACTTCTCTGAGCAGTTTCTTCATCTACATCTATAAAATGAAGTAGTCAGACCAATACTCTCTAAGTATCCTTTTACAGTGTGTATAATTCTTCCCAGCCTTGCTTCCTGTCCAATCTTCCTCCCCACCCCACTCCACCCCCAGCCCCCGCCCACCACAAGCCTCTCTCTAGGGCTCTGGCCGGCTTTTTAGTCTTCCGAAGACACGTCCACGCCAAGCTACTCTCATGCAAAGCGATCGCCTATTCTCTTTGTAATTGGGTGCTCAGAACCTCCGCCCTCCTCGATAATTAGCCTATGGTGGAGCTGGAGCCCGTCAACTCCCGCCCCCTCTCTGGTGATTGGCATCGGACCTGGCTCCTCCCTGCCCCCTGTTTGACTGATGGGCTCTGGCACCGCCTTCAGTCCCTCGGCGCTAGCTGGCGCGGGTTGTTGGGACCGTTAGCTCGCCAGACTGGCAAGCTCTCCGCCGCTACTCCACTGGAGTCAGGAATGGAGACGATGCGAGCGCAGCGGCTGCAGCCTGGAGTGGGCCCCAACGGCAGGGGCACTCTACGAACGCTACGGCCCGGAGTGACTGTGGCCGCCGCTGCCCCCGCCACACCCTCAGTGGGCTCCCCGCCCGCTCCACCGCCCCCGCCGACCCTGCTCTCGTCCGGGGCCCCTGGGCTGCCACTGCCCTCCGGCGCCGCTGGCAGCCCGGCAGTGCTGCGGGAGGCTGTGGAGGCTGTGGTGAGGAGCTTCGCCAAGCACACGCAGGGCTATGGCCGAGGTGAGTCTGTGGGTCTGACCTCCTGCGGGACACCCTCTGTACGGGAATCTTGCTCCCACAGTCCTCTGGATAGCTTTCCTTGGCGCAGAGCCCTCACATACATTTCCTTTTGGGGAGTTTCCTTCTGGGCTTATTTGCACACGCACGCACTCATACACACATTTTAGCTTCTCACTCCTCGCCTTTATTGAGTTACTACTATATTCTCTAGGAACCCCTTTTTATAGAAACAGTCCTCTTTTCCTCCCAACCTTTTCCCCTTCAGAAAATGGAATTCCTGCTATAGCTTAATGCTTTAACATTTCTGCCTTTGAAGACAGGTCCCCATTGTGTGGGATCCTATCCTTTATCTCAGATCCCAAACGTTTCTCATCTATATGCTCTTCAGTCTTTCTTCTGTGATCTCAGCAATTTCTGGGCACCCCTGTAAATTTACTCCATACCCTTGACTTCTCAATTCTTTTCTTACATATTGTCACTCTAAAATTTCCAATGCAACTTCAGATTTGCTGGGGAGTTCCGTAGTGCCTTCACAAGTTATAGTAACTGAACTTTTAAATCTGGACACATACCATTGAGTTAACACCAGCTTCCTGTGACTTAGTACCTCACTTTTGTATCTTTTTTGGTATGGAGCCTCTCAGTTCTGGCCTGTATGGCTTCTTTACTGGCCTTTGCCCAGGAACTGAGGATAAATCCCAGGCCTTGGCTCTTTCAATGTTACAATACATTCTGTGGAAATCAGCCAGGCAGAAACCTGATTTCCATTAGAGATCTTCATCTTAAAGATGCCTAATTTCTATGGCTTCTGAGAAGGGGAATATGAGGATTTTCTTTGTTGTTTTTGTATAACCAGCACATAATTGCCTGAGCTTGAGCTCCAGATTTACAGTGTAACAAAGAATATATATATAGTAGGAGGTGTGGGATACAGAATTTAGGTCTGGAGTTTCTGAGACATCACTTCTCTCTGGTTAGTCAGAGCCTAAATCTTTAACTTTCTAGTTTAATAATAATGCAGAGAGAGGTTGCAGGACTTTTCTCTATAGACAGTAATGATGTTGTTTTTCTCCCTAATAAAGTGTAGTGAAAAGAGCACACACAGGGATTGGAGTCACATAAGTCTGGATTGAATCCCAGATTAAATCTCTGTCACTTGCCAGCTATGTCTTTGGAGAAGTGACTTAACCTCACTGAGCTTCAGTTTCCTTAAGGGTTATGATGTGGATTAAATGAGACATTGCACCTGACACATAATGAGTAGTTAAAAATGATGAATATTATGACAAATTTATTGGTTCATATTTCCTTGGGAAAGACATGTCTTATTTTCTCCCAGTCTTAAATCCTGACGGTGTAAACTCACAAATTCCTATGAAAACAGATTTTTAGATCCATTTTGTTATATATGCCTAATAATATATTTACTATCAGTTTCTCTTTGTTCTTCAACATTTTGAATTCCTAACATGGGGCAGGCACTCTTCTAGGCACTGGGAATACAAATGCATATAACTGAAATTCATCATGAGGGATATAGTTGTTTTTCTAGTTTAATTAATACATTTCACAGGGCTATGTGATGGAACTGCCAACAGCTATTGTCCTGTTGCTTCAGGTCTCTTTAAGATGACACCAAAGGAAGGTCTGCCTCTCAGCCAAGATTAGTCACTGTAAATCTGAATTCTTCCTCTTAGAAACTTATAAGTACTTATTAAAATTGTAGAGGAGTGTATCCTTTTTTTTGCCTGTGTTACCTGGAGAGCCTCTGGTTTGGCTAAACTGAGTATCCTGTAAAACCTTTTTCATTTCCTTAGAAAGGATGAGGCAACAAGGGGATACCACTGACAAAGAGCAACCAGTCAGACTTCAGATTCTGCAACCTCCCTACCTCCCACCACAGCCCTCATTATTTTGGGGTTTCTCATTTCCAGTCTGGGTGTCCAGCCAGTACTTTGGGAGAGTTTGGCAGATAGTCCAGCCTCAGGCAAGCAGAATCTCAGCCAATTTTGGCTCAGAGGTCCTTCACCACATGGAATTATTTATTTTGCTTCAATTAATAGGCAAAGCTGCCATTGGCATGTACCCCCATACCCTTGTGACTGATGGGATGGTATTGGGGGCAAGCTGTATTCCCCAGCATATAATCTACTTTGATCTTTGCCCAGACCATTTCTTGATCTAACAATGCTTTGCTGCATCATCTTCAATTCACATTGTTCATCTTCTAACTGCTCCAAATTCACCTTTTCCAGTCATAACTCTTCTGTTATTTTACCTGTTTGTCCTGTAAACCCTCTACCCTCAAATCCCTGTGCAGGATACACACATAGCTCAGTATGCTGTAGGATCTTAGTTTGTAGTGCCTATTTGTAGGATCTTCAGTTTGTAAGGCTACCTTGTACAAACTGAAATAAGATTTCGAATCAGAGAACCTGGCCATGTTAAAAGTGGCTGTCTGATCTTGGATAAATTGCTTAATCTCTCTAG